TACAGTCTAAAGAGCCAGTGTTTGGATGGCATGCACCTAAAGATTGGCCACCATCATTAGTGTATCCTGTAGGACAAATAATATCTAATGAAGGTGCTTTCATATGGAGATCAAAGAGAGGTTATCATATGCTTACTCACTGTCAGTTAAGTCCCAATCATTCAACACGTGGTGCTTATGGATACAGTAAGGATGGATTATCATCATGGACACTGCTACCTGATTTAATGTGGGATGCTAACATGACATGGGCTGATGGATCTGTCAGTTACTTTAAACGTCGTCAAGGGCCTGGATTATACTTTGATGATAATGGACATCCACTGTATCTTCTTACACCAGTGGATGAATTGTATCAAGATGGATGCAACTGGGGTCATGGTTGGACACTAATGCAGCCAATTGAACATTAGAAAAGTAGGTTGCATTTATTTTATGCCATTGCTACATGCTGCATTTAACTTGCTATGAGAAATATTGTAGATAATGAAGTAAACAAAGTATAATGATCACTTTCAAGTATCTGTCAAGCAATGCAATTTTTACAGTGCCACTAAGTTTTATAATAAAAACATTACAGCCATATTGTAATGAGATATATACTATATAGTCTCATGTTCAATAATTAGTGAGTAGTCAGGAGTGATTATACAAGACAAAGCATGCTAAGTGAGGTATACAGCTTTTGGAGTAGCTTTGAGAATTCATAAAATCAGTGCTGTTGTGGTTCTTCACAACATTAGATTTGTTTCATTAAGTATATTCCTACCTACTAAAATTCATTATCTTTGTAATTAGCATTGTTGTGCACACACCCTATTACACACAGCAAATAATGCGGACAAGCCTTTTGCTGCTCCTTTGTCTTGCTGCATTAAGTGGAACAGTAGCTCCAATATGCAGTGAAGGTAGTGAAACTGATTGTTCTCTTAATGGAGTATGCAATAATGAAGGAGTGTGTGTATGTGATCCTGGTTGGAAAGGAGATAAGTGTAATCAGTTAAAATTCAAGCCACCAAACAGATTAGAGCCACATGGTTACTTCAATGGTAGCATGCCAACATGGGGAGGAGATGTCATCTATGAGAATGGTATATACCATGCATTCCTCACTGCTAAAGGATACAATACTCCACCATATGATGAATCTGATAGATATGTATGCAACACTGCCATCATTCGTCTGGAGGGAAAGTCACCAGCAGGTCCATTTGAATTTGCTGAAGTTGTCCTACCTGTATATCATCATGAGACTCATGCTATTAGAGCACCTGATGGTACTATACTTATATACATGATCAAATATCAGGGTGGTCATATGCCTGACCTTCTATCAGAATTGTGCTTGATACCAGGATGTGATGCAAGCTACAATAAGAGTCACATGGTCATAGGAATGGCTTGGAGTAAGAGTGTGTATGGTCCATGGGAAGAGAAAGTTATTCTTGATCCATGGCCAGGACTTGTTAACAGATCCTCTTGGCTGTGTCAAACAAATTGTCCCTCTGTTGTTTTTGCTCCTAATGGTACTGCAGTAATGGCTTTTCGATCAGTGCAATGTGATCGGTTAAATTCTAACAGTACTGTAAAAGAAAAGATTGCTATAGCCACAGCTCCTCACTGGTCTGGTCCATATACAATACAGTCTAAAGAGCCAGTGTTTGGATGGCATGCTCCCGAAGATTGGCCACCATCATTAGTGTATCCTGTAGGGCAGATAATGTCTAATGAAGACCCATTCATATGGAGAACAAAGAGAGGATACCATATGCTTGTTCACAGCCAATTACTGCCCCATCTTTCAACACGCGGTGCTTATGGATACAGTAAGGATGGACTATCATGGACACTGCTACCTGATTTAATGTGGGATGCTAACATGACATGGGCTGATGGATCCGTCAGTTACTTTAAACGTCGTCAAGCACCTGCATTGTACTTAGATACTAATGGATATCCACTGTATCTCCTTACACCAGTAGATGAATTGTATCAAAATGGATGCAACTGGGGCAATGGTTGGACATTTATACAATCAATTGAACATGATTGATATTCATGCTACTCCATAGTTTGCATAGCTATAGATGTTCATGCTAGCTTTTAGATTTATTAAATTAGCAAGTATCCGTTATCTGGTACACAATAATTGATGCAGATATAGCTCTACATTAAAATTTTTAAGTGACCAATTGGCTAGATTGCCATTGAACACAATTATAATTATTTTAAAAAATTTGCACAAAAACTGAGACCTATTTTTATAGCTGTACAAAACTTCTCAATCTTTTACAAAAACTTTCATGCATGATTCCAGTAGCCCATGAAAAGGTAGGGCTCCTGATGATTATCTATCAATTAAAAAGCGTTTTGTTAATGAAAGTTGTAATTTTGGTATCTCAAAAGTTTATTCATTTCATACAAATCCCACTAGATGCATGAATTGAAAAAGACACTTCTAATTGCATTACTTATTCAATCTTACTAAATTCATTATCATTGTGAATGGCATTGTTGTGTGCACATGCACTGATTGTGACACACCCTATTACACACAGCAAATAATGTGGACAACTCTTCTGTTGCTCTTTTGTCTTGTTGCATTAAGTGAAACAGTAGCTCCAATATGCAGTGAAGGTAGTGAAACTGATTGTTCACTTAATGGAGTATGCAATAATGAAGGAGTGTGTGCATGTGATCCTGGATGGAAAGGAGATAAGTGTAATCAGTTAAAATTCAAGCCACCAAACAGATTAGAGCCACATGGTTACTTCAATGGTAGCATGCCAACATGGGGAGGAGATGTCATCTATGAGAATGGTATATACCATGCATTCCTCACTGCTAAAGGATACAATACTCCACCATATGATGAATCTGATAGATATGTATGCAACACTGCCATCATTCGTCTGGAGGGACAGTCACCAGCAGGTCCATTTGAATTTGCTGAAGTTGTCCTACCTGTATATCATCATGAGACTCATGCTATTAGAGCGCCTGATGGTACTGTGCTTATATACATGATCAAATATGATGGCGGTCCTATGCCTGACCTTCTATCAGATTTGTGTTTGATACCAGGATGTGGGCTTAGTTATAATAAGAGTCATGGAGTAATAGGAATGGCTTGGAGTAAGAGTGTGTATGGTCCATGGGAAGAGAAAA